CACTATGAAATAAAACTAGAACAAGAAAGGAACACGGGAGTCTCGGCGAATCCCGGGCTTGAACACGAACACACGGGCATTGGATGTGGCTTCCTATTGACCGAACAACAAGGAGAGACACGGCTAGTCGGTGAGCTCTCTCTCTCTTTCTCTCTTTCTCGACGTGAACAAGAAGCAAAGAAGCAAGAGAGAAGGTCGGCCAATTGGTGGTGTGTGTGTCTTCTTCAAATGGGGGCTTCCCTATTTATAGAAGCCCTTACTTGGTCCCTACTCAAGTCATTAATGCATGTCATGATGATGGTGCCTCCAAAGTCCAATTAATTAAGGCTTGTCATCATGAATGGGGCTTCTAAGTCAAGGGCCATTTAATGGCATTAATGAACCTTAATGATGGAAGCTTGAAGGACAAGCTTTGACCATGTCAAAGCCTTATCTTCTAGTTTCTTCCCAACAAAACAAATGCGGAGCCTATTTTCGCCTACTAGAAATGTCGATTCGGCTCACAATTACTCAGCACCATCGGGTTGCACAATAACAACTAATCGACATTTAAGTCGCAAACCCGCATCATAATCAATTCCATGATTTCCGAGGGTTTTCTACGACAAAACATCTATAATAATCTCGTTCAACCCGAGGTTCAGCGCGGGAATGTCCTCAAATATCACCAAAAGATATCAAGTTGAGATTCCAACGTTCTTATATAGAAAATGAAAAATCTTTGAAATCTGACAAAACCGGACAGTTTTGCACTGTTCAAGAAATTGGACTTGAAAACATAGTAAATGCACTCCAAAAATTCTCAAATTTGAATATGTCATAAACAAGGCCTTAAGAAACATTTTTCATAGGGAACACGAAATCTGAATATTTTTTTAAACATAATTTTTAGTACCTCAGTGACAGACTAAAAACAGTTCGCTTGAACAGAATCTTTGCTTCTCAAAGTAAGCTCTTTACAGAATCCAAATCATCTCCAAAAATTATCAAAATTTTATATGTTATAGAAAAAGAAGTTCTCAACAACTTTTGTGAAGGAAACGTTTCTAAAATCAGCCCAGAAAAGCTTGTAGAAAATAAAGAAAGTGTGAACATCACTGAAATACCCATTCTGGGCAGTTTTACACTGTCCGGAAATTAGGCTGTTGTACTACTCATATCAAGTCCAAAAATTATGAAATTAAAGTATGTAAAACTTCAAGATGTTTGGAGAAACTTTCAAGAAAGAAGTGTTTGGAAATTCGGATCACAAAAGTCTTCACAAAAATAACAAAACGAAGGGGTACAAAGGATCCAAAACTGGGTTTTCCAGAACAAGAGTAAAAAATTTGGTTCCAATTGAAAAACTACCAAACTTAAACCATAACCATTTCCCAGGGACTAAAATTGAGGATGTTACAGTTGTCCCCCTCTAAAAGAATTTCGTCCCTGAAATTTAAAACATACCTAGTTCCTCAAACAAGTGGGGATATTAACGCTTCATTAATTCTCCACTTTCCTAGGTAGCTTCTTCTATTTCATGGTGACACCACAAGACCTTTACTAAGGGAATGGCCTTACTTCTCAACACTTGCTCCTTACGATCCACGATCCGCACCGGCTCTTCAACATAGGACATTCTGCTGTCCAATTCGACCTCGTTGAAATTCAGCACCCGTGTCGGATCGGCTCATACTTTCTCAACAGGAACACATCATGCACTTGAGCAAGTTTCGGTGGCAGCGCCAACCGATAAGCCAAATTCCCTATTCTTTCTAGAATTTAAAAAGGTCCTACATACCTGGGATTTAACTTACCTTTCCTTCCGAAGTATGACACAGCCCTCATTGGTGACACCTTCAGAAAGACATGGTCACCTACCTGAAACTTAAGCGATTTCTAGCGCCCGTCAGCCTAATTCTTTTACTGACTTGTGCCGTCTTATGTCTTTCTCTACTTATCTGGACAACATCTATGGTGAGTTGGTCTAGCTCTGGACCTGTGACCTTTCTTTCCCCGACCTCGATCCAACACACTGGAGATGCTGCAAGCTCGACCACGCTTCTGCTGCACTACTCTGATAAAATCTTACTCAAACATAATTTACTTTTATATTGATGTCAATATCTTCCAGGGCCAACATAACTAGATCAATCATGCCCTTATAACAATTCTATCATTATGAAGATCACACTTATCATTCCAAGTAACAGTTCCCGTCTTACTTTCAGAACCGTTCTCCCTCGTTCAGTACCTAGCTTGGTTTATTTCTTTTCTTACCCGCCATCCTAGAAGCCTGTCAGGAGCCGCTCCTTGTTTAGGTCTAGGTCTTTGACCCCGGCGACCACTCTTGCTAGAAGCCGCACCTTGATCAGGCCTCATGCCCCGGCATCCACTCCCCGCCCTCATCAGACCATAAAAACGTCTACAATTTACGTAATCTCGAATAGGGGCTTTGAAAAGAGGATGTCTGTGAAACACCATAAAAGCTATCTCTTGTTCGGTGGGACCAAGATACTAGATTATACTCCAGATAAGACTTTCCTCAGAGAACTCCTGATTGTGGTTGCCTGGCCATTGTTAACAGGGCAGGCTTCGAAGCAAGTCAAGGAAAGCTAATGCCAATTTTTCCACGAAGAGGGTAATTACGAACAGATGGGAGAGTGGGTTACTCACATGTTTCTTAATAATATTTGCATTAATAGCGGCTGGCTATGTACTCAATAAGAGAATTGAAGAATCCCACCAAGAGCAAATATTAGCTTCTCCTTAGTGGTTCACTCATTATTACTTCTGTGATCCCTCTTGAATTGCCAACACTACAAAAAAACAAGGGATTAGCGACGAATTTTGCGACAAAAAATTTGGCAAAATCCGTCGCAAATCGAATTTGCGACGGAAAAAATTCCGTCGCTAATAGGGCGTCGCAAATTTTTGCGATGGAAAAAAATTTGTCGCAAATAATTCGTCACAAATTAGCCACGAACAATATCCGTCACAAAATTCGTCGCAAATTAGCCACGAACTTTATTCGTCGCAAAATTCGTCGCAAATTCGTCGCAAATTTCGTCGCAAATTTAGTTGCAAAATTTCGTCACAAATTTAGTCGCAAAATTCGCCGCAAATTAGCCACGAACTTTATCCGTTGCAAATAATTCGTCGCAAAATTCATCGCAAGTAATTCGTCGCAAATTAGCCACGAACTTTATTCGTCGCAAAATTTGTCACAAAATTCGTTGCAAAATTCGTCACAAAATTAGCCACGAACTTTATTCGTCGCAAAATTTGTCGCAAAATGTATTCGTCGCAAATTAGCCATGAACTGTAACGGTTGCAAAATTCATCTCTAAATATTCGTCGCAAATTTTACACCATTTGGGCCATCAAATCTTGTCCATATCAATAGCTACGCATTAATGAACATCATGTAATACATTCAAAACAATCAAAGGACACGAGACAACCACAGATTCCGCTTCAGAAACAGAAAATGAACAAACCAGACAATGTCACGCCCCGAACCCTGACGGGCTCGCGACACCCCTCCGAAGGTCGTATTGATCGCGACGTCCCAGGACGCGTCACCGACCCAAACGAAATACGCAAGCGGAAGCGAAATATAAATAACCCAGACAATTAACCATGACCAAGGGATAGCACTAGCATAAAATCAATATATGCATTTTATAAAAAAAATACTTAGCAGATACAAACAACAGAAACACGTACATCAAAAGGGGGTAAAGGTTGGGTAACCTACTTCACTATACAAAACGGGGGCAACCAAAAAGGTGGAATGAAACATCAAATGCACAAAGTCACTCCCGGTCTCCGAACAGCACATGACGACTATCCGTCACTCCAGTCCTGAAAATGTTTAACAACGGGGGATGAGATAAATCTCAATAAGTAAACAACCTAAACCCCACGTAGGCCAATGCATACCCAGACGAGTCTCCACATGCAATCTAATAACCGACGAACTAGAATTTACAAACACATACTTACCTCGCCTCAAATCACACGCCAACTCTGCATAATAGTCAAATCACATTAATGCATCCAGTATAACTCATATTCAGAACACACAAAGAAATTTCCCATGCATCATACAACAACATAGGGGTGTCAATGGGTCGGGTCGGGTCGGGTTTTCATGATACCCGACTCGACCCGAAACAATGAATATGTGTGCTTGGCTCGACCCGAAACAAGACCCGAACATGATATAGCCACACAATCGGGTCGGTTCGGGTCAAGTTCGGGTCGGGTCGGGTTCGTGTTTTGGAAAGAGGGGAGTATGAATTGGAGTTCAGGAGGCTGAATTGCCTCAGGCTCTGCAGTGCATTAAGGCAAAGTATGAAGGATACACTCTTAAAGTTGGCGTGGAGTGGAGTGGAATGAAAGAAACAAATACATGAGGAATCTGATCCTCTTGAAAGTAGAGTCATTGCCAGTGTTCTTTTTCCGGTGAGGATTTCCTCTGAATCCCTCACTCCAAGATGGTTGCAGGTTGATATCTATAGAGGTTGCTGAGCTGTGTCATAATCGGAGGATCCCTTGCCGATTTGGCCAGAAGGAACCGAAAAATCCTAGATTTGGAGATGTACATTGTTGCTGATCAGACATTAATTTTCATTGTTTGGAGACATCGATCTTTTCATTGTTTTGGTGGGGACATCTATAGAGGGCTTATAGATGATTCGTTCAGAATCGGTGAGACATATGCAAAGAGAATCTGTATGAGGGATCGTTGTGGACTTGCTCCTTCCACATTTTGGAGCTTCGAACTATGAGGTCGTTTTCTTATCGAGGGAAGAAAATTTAAGCATCATGAACACAAATCCTATGAAGCAAAGAGGAAAATTAACGACTGAAGCTAAGAACATACGCCTCCAAATGCCACTCAGTGTACGAGCTAGTGCATATATCGATTCAATTCCGTGATCAACAACCAAATCCTACCTAAAGAAAGGAGAAAAAAACAGGAACGGATAGGACGAACCAGATCGCGATGAGATTCAGCGAGCAGAGGCAACGGAGCAGATCACGACGATGAATGCCGCGACGACGACGGAGAGGCGACGAAGCAGCGCGGACGAGCAGTCGCGAGAGCAGAATGGATCGGAGGCAGAGCGCCGACGAGCAGCACAGGACAGACCCGGAGAGCGAATGAGGCGAGGCAAAGAAGAGCGACCGACCGACCGACCGACCGATGAGAAGATCAGAGCACGAGGAAGCGGAGATAGCCGGTGCTGGCGGTGATGGAGAGAGGCCCACGGCGGAGATGAGGGCGAAGACGAGGAGAGGCGGTCGAGCTCGTCCATCATGATGGCGAGGTCGTCGTCGATGCAGCGGGAGATGAGGGCGTCGAGGTCGGAGTCGGGGAGCTGGTACTTGAGGGCGAAGGGGGGCGCGACGGCGAGGGTGGAGGAGACGGGGGAGGCTGCCGCGGAGGCGCGGTCGACGGTGACGATGCGGGTCTCGCCGCCGTGGTAGAAGAGGGACTTGGAATGGGGGCGTGGGGCCACGCCTACGCTGTAGCTGCACATGAGGCAGAGCTTCAAGGAGGCGGTGGGTCGCGGCGACGGCGGCTCCATCGTGGCGGAGAGAGACGTGGAAGAGAGATTGCAAAAGAGATCGCAGAAGAGGTGAGAGAGGGAGAGAGATGTGGAAGAGAGATGTAAGGTTTCTTGTTTGGGTTGGGCTTGGGTACCCAAGCCTAATAGATCCAAACAATATCCAATTTTTTTTATTGTTACCCAAACAAGTTGAGACCCAACCCGACCCAATAAGAAAATTTCATGTTCGGGTCGGGTCATTTCGTGTTTCGGTTCGGGTATTGTGTTTGGTTTTGACACCCCTACAACAACACTCGCGCGTGTCTCGATTATAAGGTAAAACCACTTGAGCACGTCCCATACCATGCCTAGCAGTATTCACCCCATAATCAAACACTATGCAACATGCGTGGTCCAGCCAACTTTCTCACGACCTCTCAGGTCCTTTCACACTGCCCGCATAAACACGCCTCGGGCCCAATCTCACGACTCACGCTACTGCGCCTCAGGTCAGCCCTCAGATCAAGCCGGGCTCCGTCCCTCACTAGACATTTCACACTTTCACACGACCCGCATCAACACGCCTCAAGTCAGCCCTCAGATCAAGCCGGGCTCCGTCCTTCACCGGACATTTCACACTTTCACATGACCCGCGTCAACACGCCTCAGGTCAGCCCTCAGATCAAGCCGGGCTCCGTTCCTCACTGGACATTTCACACTTTCACACGACCCATGTCAACACGCTTCAGGTCAGCCCTCAGATCAAGCCGGGTTCCGTCCCTCACCGGACATTTCACCCTTTCACACGACCCGCGTCAACACGCCTCAGGTCAACCCTCAGATCAAGCCGGGCTTTTTTCATGCACATGCACCACAACACAAAATTCACAATTTCCTCAGTCGTATAATTCAAATTCAAATCACCACACTTTCACCAATATCAATCTGACACGCCATAACACCCAATTCAAGTCGTGATCTCCACATCAGCCTACCGATTCAACATTCAAGTCGGCACATTCGAATATTCCACTTCACCCACAAGCGTCACGACAACTCAGTTATGTCACCCATCTCATTCAATCACTAAATTAGTCATACAATCACCACCACAATAATCCATAAATTGAGCACATTCAATTTAACTAATCCACGATTAATTTAATTCCTAATCCGGTACTAATCACACCCTAAACAAGTCAAAAAAATACCCAAAGTACTAGGTAGGGTTTAGGAAGTCACTTACTAAGTTTTGGCCTGGGAAAATCGGCTCGGGCCTAAAATGGCCCGGGTGAACAGTGCTGGGCTCGGCACGGGTGAGGGCGCGATGGGCGCGGGGCTTGGCCACGACTCGGTGCACTGCCCGGCGACTCGGCCACGACTGGGTACACGGCTGGGCAACGGGCTAGGCGACGGGCAGAGGCCTGGGCTGAGCGGGCAACGGCTCAGCCACGGCCTGGGCGACTCGGTCACGCCCCGGGCACGCTTGGCCGGCGAGCTTGAGCACGGCGAGGCACCCTCGACTGGCGAGCTTGCTGGCCGGATGGCGGGCCGGCAAGCTGGGCTGGCTAGGACGACGGTTGGATGGCGACGGAGGCGAGCTACGGCGGTGAGCAGTGGCTGGGCAACGGGCTAGGCGAGCTCGAGCAGGCTGGCTGGCGAGTTGGCTGGCTGGGCGACATGGCGACGGCGATGTGCGACGGCGGCGACGAGGGACGGGCTCGGCGACGGCGATGCGGCAGCGGCCTGGCACAGCCAGAACAGGGGGGCAGCTACGTCGTTGTCGGAGCGGCAGGGACGACGGCGGCTCGGGAGGGGAAGTTGGGGTGGTGGCGGCGAGCTGAATGGAGGGGTGACGGCGTCCGGGATGGCAGCGCGCGGCGGCGATGAGCTCGGCGACGAGCTCGGCCAGCAAAGGGAGAGGCCGGGGAAGAAGGAAAACCAGGGTAGGGGATGGTCACGCGGCGGCCGGAGGCGGCACGACGGCGTCGCGGGGGCGAGGCGGCGGCGAGAGGCGGTCGGCGTCGGCTTGGAGTGAGCTGCTAGCGGTGAGCGGCGTCAGACGACAAGAATAGAGGAGGCGAAGCAGCTACGGGAGGAAGAAGACCAAGGAAGAAGAAGAAAAGAAGAAGAAAAAGAAAAGAAAAAGGGAAAAAGGAGGAGAGAGAGAGAGGAAGAAGGGACGTTGCATGGGGGAAGGGGGAGAGAGAGGACGGGCGCAGTGGGGAGGGGACGCGCGCGGCAGAGAGGAGAGAGAGAGAGAGAGAGAGAGAGAGAGAGAGAGAGAGACTAAAGTCAAATAAGATACTCGAGTGCGATCCGATGGTCACGATTCAAACCCGAAAGCGATCCAACAGCCCACGAAAATCCTAATTAATATTTAGGAAAAATGGCCAAAAGAAAATAACGCAAAACACACTACGAGGGAGGTCTACTAGTCCAAATTCGCACCCGGTCAAAAATCCACTTTTCATATATTCCGGGCAATATCGAGGCTGGCCACAATAATATCGACACCGTCCAATTAAATTCGTCCCGGAACTCTGAGAAATTCGACACCAAAGTTTGGGCTCTAAATAACGGCCAAATTCGATCGAATGCGATTCTAGCGAAATCTCAATTTTAAAAACAATAACCGAGAGTGATGAGTTCCCGGGCGAGATTTTACTATAAGCACACTGACGAATTACACGTTTTATAAATCCCAAAAATGGGCCGAAATTCAGAATGTCACACACAATGCCATATAATTGAAAAATATAACTGAAAGAAAGATGCTAGTCCGCAAAAAATAATGATATATGCAAAGTTGCAAAGTCTGACATGATGCTATTTGATATCCAATCTTCTAATACATTCAAAACATTCATAGGAGGTGGGACAACCATAGATTCTACTTAAAAAACGAAAAAGCGACAAACCAGACACAAGATTGGGCAGCTTTGGTACTCGGCAGGACACCAAAAGGAGTCACTTTTGTCGACACCTGATAAAATGTGGATACATAAATAAAGATATTCAATCAGTCCAGAAAATAAAAGAAGCGTTTATGCATGGATGTGGAACTAGGTATAAAAAAACAAGTAAGAAGGTTAAGAAAAAAACGTTTTAGGAGGAACATCAATGTTCTTACATATGAATATGAGTTAACTTTGACATCCATTGTAGTTTTTTCACCCTTGTAAACCGTATTTCTGTCACCTAGGAAAAATTAGATCCTTGTCCAAACAGCATTCAACAGTTTAATCGCGAAGAGAGGTGAATTACCAACACCAATTCTCAGGAAAAGAGGACTCAAAGTCAATTAAGGCATGTATTTCTACAATGTTCAAATATCGTGATTTTTTTTTATCAAGTATGTCATCCTGGGATCTCCAAATTTTCAGTTTTTCGCAAGCAAAGAACCTAGTTGTAAGAAAGTTGTGCACAAAAAGTAATTGTAGGGCAGGAACATATTGGGTGAAACTGCTCTTATGTCATAAAAGATTATGAAGCAAAACTTACCCCCGATTTGATGAAATTTTAACTAGAAAGGACCGAGAAAATCATCATCATCATCAGCAATCTCAGCATCATTGTGTCGCTCATCATTGTGCCCATCACCTATTGGATTGGCGGGAGGTATAGGAGGAACCTCATCGCAATTGAGGTTGAGGTGTCGCATAACGATTTGCATTTGTTGTTTCAAGTCATTTATTTCTTCGTCCTTCTCTACAAGTATATTTTTCAGTCGGTTCACTTCTTGGGTCAATTGCTCGTCATGTCGTGTCCTCCTTCGACCAGCCGCATTGAATGATGAAGTTGCAGCATGATTCGGCATGTATATCCTTGACAAAGATCCCATCCCAAATATTTTTCCTTTTTTCATCCCACCCGTTGCCTCCACCCATAATGCCATACTGTCAACTGATGGCTCAGACGCAGCAACACCATCACTACCACTAGCATTGCTCATTAAAAGTTCATCATATTTTTCCTACATTAACAATATAGATGAAAATAAAATAACTTCATATATATATATCTACCATAAATATTAAAAGCATTCACGGTTTTCATTCTAGTTTCCATAAAGTCCAAAGTATAACCTTACATACCTTAATAGCTTTGCTCGATCGCCAGTCCATGTCTTATCTTTCTTTTGAAATGTGCGTTCAAATGTAGCTGCAAATGTCGGTTCCGTCCCTAATTCATGTGCCTACAAAATATAAACATGAGTAATTAAATTAAATTAACTTATAACTTATTTAACAGACTTACCATTCGTTTGCGATGCTCCCCAATGTTGATAGAGCTCCCAGCATATGTGGCAGACCCTTCACTAGAACTAGAAGATCGATTCTTTTTATTCTGCTCACTGATTTGCTGACTCTTTTCAGTTTCCCAAATTCTGTTAATTTCCATCCAATTGTCAGCTGTAATGAAAGCCGGCTTCACTTTCTTGATCTTCGCTCTATTCATCACATTTCGTATGTGATCACCGACTTTCTTCTGAAAAATTCTTCTCACTTCATTCTCTTCCTCTTCATCCCACCTGAACTTCCGCTGCAATCAATACAAAAAAAACTGAAAGTTATTATGATGGTCACATATCAATTACCATGCACCAGACAATTCGGCGATAGATTTTGTAAAGTTCATCTCGGGGAAAATATATGGTCCCTTTAGTACCGAAAACTAAAGAGTTGTTCTGGTCCCTTTACATCATTCTTGACCATCAATATACTGCACCGAACTTAGTTGGTGAGAAAATAGAATATGTAAAACTTACCTTGAACTCATTCCACCACAAATCTTTCACTTCTTGTGGAACACTTCTGTAATTAATATACTGCCCCATCTAATAGTTTTTGACTATTTTATTCAGTTCCCTCACAACAAACGGAGCATCCGTGAATCTGTAAACATACGGATATTGTTCAACATCGACAATTCAGTTGACATCCATATCTAAAACCATAAATATTACATATACTAAAAAAAATGAAGTACTTACGAATCTCCAAATGGGTATATCATGAATCGGTTATCTTCTTCAC